CTCCCCGTCGTTGCTCTCTTCCTTCTCGCCGCCACCGGGACGAATGAGTGTCACGCTGGCCGCGCCGACCCCCGCCGCGCCACCGCCGGGGCCGTCGCCCCCGGGGCCGGATGGGCCCGGCGACAGCCCAACCACCCCGGCCGCCTCCTCGCCCCTGGGCTCGCCGCCGACGCCCGGGGAGGACGCACCGCCGCCCGCCCATGGCCAGGAGGATCAGCCGGGTCCGCCTGCCCCGGCTGTCGGTCAGCCCCAGCCCCAGCAGCAGTCGCACAACAGCGGGCTAAACACCTTTCTGGACAAGATCCGCCGACCCTTTTTGACAACTTCCCCCGGGCCCGGCGCGGCCCCTTCGCCAGGCCCCGGGGGCCGGCCCCCCTCCGCCACCGAGATCGCCGGGCCGCCTCTCTCGCCCTCGACCGGGTCCGGGGATGATGAGGACCCCCTGCGAGCGGTGGCCAGCGCGCCGGATCTCCTCCGGACGCGGCATGCTCCGGCAGCCGGGCCGCCCGGGGCCGCGAATGCCGGCTCGGCCGACGGCAGGCCCGCCAGCGCCGGGCCCGGGTCCCACCCCCCCGAGCAGCCTACCCCCCCGGGCGGGGACGCCTACTACCTTGCCCAGTCGTCCAGCACCCTGCGCAGCCATGATTCCCTCTACGCGCCGTCCTTCCACCAGGAGCAGGACAGCAATGTCAGCCAATCGGACTGGGCCTTCTGGGCGGAATTTGTCACGGACTTCGATGCCAGCTACATGGGGAATGCGCGAGCCCTACACACGCAGCTCCTGGCCAAGGGGATCCCCCACTCGCTGCGCGCGCACCTGTGGCCGGCCCTGGCCGGGGTGTTTGCCGCCAGCTCGGCCGTCCGGGCCTCGCTCATCCATAACTACCGGATCTTGGTGGAGGTGCGCGCCGATGCCCCTCCATCTGGGGTTCCCTCTTGTCCGCCGCGCCCTTTTTTGCCCCCGCTTCGCCGCCAGGCTCCTCTTTGATCGGGCCCGGTGCCTTGGGCCGGCCTGCTTTGCATCCCTCGCCCTTCTGACCCCCTCCGTCTCCCTATGGGCCGCGGCCCTGGTGGCTGGCGTGTCTTTTTTTTTTTTTTTTCCTTTTCTACTCCCCCCCCCCCCGCCTTCTGCGGAGGTGCCCATGCAGCTGGACACTCCCATGCGCGACCAGATCAACCGCGATGTACCGCGCACCCTCACCCAGTCGGTGTCCCCCTCCCTGGCCCAAAGCAAGTCCAACAGCACCTCCCTGTCGGCGGTGCTCAATGCCTATGCCGTGTACGACCCGACGGTGGGCTACTGCCAGGGGCTGGCCTTCGTGGTGCACCTGCTGCTTCAGTACATGCCGGAGGAGGATGCCTTCGTGACGCTGGTCTTCCTGCTGGCTCCCTTCCCCCGGCGGGGGGGCCTCAGCGGGGCCCTCGCACGCGGCACCGGCCCCGGGGCCGACCCCCGAGGCGGCCTCCCATCCCCCCCGCCCGGGGGCATGTCCTTCCTGGAGTCGGTGATCTCCGGCCCCGGGCACCAGTCGAGCCCGGACGAGTCGACCTCCTCCGGCCCCGGCGCCTCGTCGGCCCCCCCGCAATTGTCAGTCCGGACGGCGAATCTGGCCACCATGGCGGGCCCCTCGCCCAGCGTGTCGACCCCGGGCTCGCCCGGGTCCATCGGGCCCGGGGCCGACCACCCGGCCGCCCCGCCGGCCATGCGACTGTCCACGGGCTCCGGGCCCGGGTCGCCGGCGGCGGCGGCGGCGGCGGCGGCGGCGGCCGACGGCACCCCCGACCCGGCGGCCACCACGTATGTCATCCTGGCCTGCCCGGACTCCTCGCCGTCCAGCATCCGAAGCATGTATGTGCAGGACATGGAGGGGCTCAACCTGCGCCTGGCCCTGTTGACGGTGCTGCTGCGGAAGCACGCGGACCCGGTGTACTCGCAGCTCGAGCGCAATGTCGGCCTGCATGTCAGCATGTTCGCCTCGCCGTGGTTCCTGACGCTCTTCACCATGAGCTGGCCGCCGGCCTTCTCGGCCCGGGTGATGGATGTCCTCCTGGCCGAGGGGGTGGCCTTCCTCTTCCGAGTGGCGGTGGCCCTGGTCCGGCGGAATGCCAATCGCCTGTTGCTGGCCATCGACAGCGACAACGGCCTGGCCGAGGTGCTGGCCGTGCTGAAGTACGACTCGCCGCTGCGGGTGTTCGACCACCCGTGCGCCCTCATCGTCGAGGCCCAGCGCCTGGCCGATGTCATCACCGACAAGCACCTGGCCCAGCTCCAGCGCCAGATGGACGCCCAGGCGGTCCTGACGCCGGATGTCCTCGGGCGCGATGGGGCCGGCGACCCGCCCCCCGGGACCCCGGGCTCCTCGCATGGCGGCCACGACCATCCCCACCACCACCATCACCACTCCTCGGGCTCGTCGGCCGGCGGCCCGGCTGGCAGTGTGTCGTCCTCTTCGCTGCCGATCGCCGTGCCTGGCGGGTCGCCGGCCGTGCTGCCGGCCGGCGGTGGTTCGGCTCTCAGCGCCTCCTCGGTGCTGCGGTCCATGCTGCAGCATAGTCCCCTGCGCACGGCTCCGCATGTGCCTCTGGCCGCGCGCATGGGGCTCGTCGACTCGGACAGCTCGGACGCCGGGTCCGAGTCGGAGGGCGGCTCCGACGGCGAGGGGTCCTCCTCGGCCGGGGCCCGCCAGGGCCGGGCGGGCGCGCTGGTCGGTCGGCGCCGGCCTGCCGGCTTGCAGGTGCCCCGGTCGTCGGCCGGTGCCTCTGGCGATTCGGCCTCGCCCGATCCCTGGCAGGACAGCGGCTCGCCCGGGTCCGATTGGGATTACTTCGATGCGATGGCCAGGGCCCCGGGCGCGATCGCAACCGCCGCCGCCGCCACCGCCGCCGTCGCCGCCACCGCCGCCGCCGCCGCCACTGGCGCCTCTTCTCCCTCCCCCTCGGCCGGGCCCGAGGATCTTCACATTGGTCAGCCCCAAGGCCCGGCCTTCGCGGCCTATGTCGGTCCGATTGGGCCTCCGCTCGATGCGCCGGCCCTGGCTGACCCCAACCCCGGGCAGTCCTTCCGGTCCGGCAGCGGGGCGCGCTTCTTCCCCTACACGGGCTTCGGGGACCCGCCCCCGATGCCGGCTGTCTCGCCGCCGCCGCCTCTTCCCCGGGTCTTGGACCAGGCCGCCAGTCAGCTGGCCGCAGCGGCGGCGGCGGCGGCGGCGGCGGCCGTCCCCGCCGTGGCCATCGTCGCCACGGAGGACACGGCCGCCGCGGCCGCCACCCGGGCCGGCCCCTCGGACCTGGTCTACCCCGAGGCTCCCACCACTCCGCCCAGTGGCGGGCCGACCAGCCCGGCCTTCTCCGGGCAGGGGTCCTCCGACTCGCTGAGCCTCTGGCCCGGGTCCTCGGCGATGGCTACCCCGTACCAGCCTCTGGCCGAGGAGGAGGGCAGTCCGGCCCCGGGGGCCGGGCTGACCACGCCCGGCCCGGCAGCCACGGCCACTTCGGCCCCGCTCTTCTCCTTCAGCCGGCTCTCCAGCTCATCGCAGCATTCGCCAGCCCCGGCGGCGGCGGCGTCGGCGTCGGCGGCGGCGTCGGCCGGCGCCCCAGCGCCCGGCACCGCCCCCAATGCCGGGGCCGCCGTCCTTGCCCGGCCCCCCGCGCCGGGCTCCACCCCTGGCGGTACCCCCTCGAAGACGACCAAGATCACGAACTTCTTGCGCATGGCCTCGCGCTCGGCCCGGCCGGCCGGCAGCCCGGCCGATGCGCCGGCCCCCTGCGGATCGTGCTCCGGGGCCCGGCGGATCGCCGAGCTGGAGGCGCTGCTCCGCGAGCGGGACCACCATGCGGCCACCCTCCAGCGGGATAATGCCCTTCTCCAGTCACAGGTGGGCTTCTACATCTCGCTGCTGAGCCATGTGCAGGCGGCCGCCGGGCCGGGGGGGCTTCCCCTGCCGCCGGGGGATGGCGACCCGGACGTCGCCGGGGGGACAGACTCCGGGCTGGCCCCCTCGCCGGGGCCCGCCGAGGCCGATGCCCCGCCGGGGCCGGCCCCCGAGCCCGGCGTCCTGGCCGGCCCGTGCGACTCGCAGGCCGACCTGCCCGGGGACAGGGCTGGCGCCCCGGGCGACCGCCCCCTCGGCGGCCGGGCCGGCGGTGCGGGCGGCTCTCTGCGGTCCGACGGGTGCGCCCTTGCGGCGGGAGGCCGTGGTGATGCCTCCCGGTCTTTTTTTTTTTCACTTGCTTTTTCCTCCCTGGCACCTCCCCTTTTTCGGCCCCAAGGTCTGCTGTTGGGCGCCTGCTGACACTCTGCGCCCGGGCCGCCGCCGCCCCCCCCCCCCTCTCTCCCCTCGCCCCGCCCCCCTTCCCCTTGGCGCCCCTGCGGTCCGAAAGGTCCTCCGTCATGTCGCTCTCTCTGTCGGACCAGATCCAGGTCCCGGGTGCGGAGCTCCACCCGTACTTGTCCTCCCTGGACCATCTGCCGAGCGATGTGCACTTCCTGCGGAATGCCCTGTACATTGCGCGCCTCAGCTGCCTGGAGACCGAGCAGGCCCTGACCGACCAGCGGAGGGACCTGATCGCCGCCAAGGTGCGCGCCGGGGGGGCCCCTCCCTTGCATTCCTGTCCCGCCGCGCCCTCCTTGCTTTTGCATCCGGGCACTGACCATCCCCTCGTGTGGCATTTCCCCCGTTCCGGCATCCCTGCGCGTCCCCCCCCCCCCCCCCCCCCCCCCGGGCCCGTTGGCCGGGGCGGGCGGGGATGCGAACGGGCGCGGGCGATCGCCGTCGGGCGCCCCGAAACTCGGAGGGTTTGATGAGCCCGGGTAGAGGGGGCTCACCGGTTTCCAGGCCACCTCTCTACAGGTACTGGCCCAACGTGGGCTTTCCCTCCCCCGCCCCCCCCCCCCCCCCCCCCCTATGCAGATGCAATATGCCTTGGCAATGCAGGAGCTAGAGACCATGAAGTTGAGCCGGAACAGGCACTAGATGGAACGCGTTTGGGCGCCGCCCTTGTCGCCCCCCTCCGCCCCCCCCTCCCCCCCCCCGGTCCGTAGCCCCCCTCGCACTGTGGCGAGCGGGGGGCCCGGCCGAAGGGGGGGGGGGGAGGGGCCAGTCGCATTGGGGGGCATCCCACCCGCCCCGGCTCTGCCTGTCTCTTTCTCCCCTGCGCCCCTCCCCCCTTTCAACCGGGGGTCCAAACATGTTCTCCCTGTTGTGTATCTGCCTGTTCTCTTCGGCCCTTGTTGATTTATGGAGTCCTTGTCTTGTGCGCGGGGAGGCGGACGCGCCGTGGCGCGATGTGTATATCCCCCGGCAACGGGGGGCGGGGTCCTGGCGCCGGGTCCGGATGGAGGTGGGCCGCCCCGGGCCGGGGGGCGCGCGGGGCACACGGGGGGGGGGGGGGGGGGCTGGAATCAAGCACACGGCATTCAGGGCTGGCGGGACATTCCGGCGCATTATTCACCAGCCAGGGTTGGCCAACCCTGGCCCGGGAGACCGGCCACCCGGGCAGAAATACCCGCCGGCGCGTCCACGGAATGGAGCCTCCGGCCGTGGGGGCATTTCATCGGCAATGGCGCCCCCAGTGCCAACTGTTACCTGGGCGCCCCCCATCCGCGGCTATATTCGGCGCCCCCGGCGTCGTCGTCGTCGTCGTCGTCGTCGCCGACTGCGGTGGTGGCGGTGGTGGCGCGGGCGCGCCCGAGCGTCCCTACGCACATACCACCTTTCCCCGCCCGGGCGCGCGCCGCCCCCGCCCAAGTGGGCTCCGCCGGGTGTGTGCAAGTCCGCGCCCCGGCCCCCGGTCCCCCGCCCCCGTGCCGGCTCGGGGCCTTCTTCTCGGAAGCCCCTGTGCCCGGGAGATCTGCGTCGGGTCCGGTGGCCGGCGCATGGCACTCCTGTGGCCCCGCATTGACGCCAGACGCACCGGAAACCCGGAAGGCCGGCCGGCGGCCACAACCGGGCGAGGCCCGAGACAGCGGAAGGGGGGCAAAAGGGTGAGCGAAGCATACGCGTGGCCCCCCCCCCC